CACTGAGGCTAAATTGAAGGATCGCATTTTATAAACGCAAATCAAAAATGATCTCTCAAAATTTTCAATTCAGGATCCTCCTTGAAATCACCTGTTTGTCCACGATCTATATTTTTATACTTTTTCGGTCAAATAGGACGCTGCAATGTCTGCCTCTGCAATATAGCAACTTCTGAGAGTTAGACTGGCTAATTTAATACCGATTGCAACGCACTCATCTTTCCCTAAACGCACCTTTTGAATCATAATAGTCATAAATTGTCATAAATCATAAATAGCAATCTAAGAACACGTGATTTTCAACAAGTATATAACATTAGAATGTGATCTCTAACTTATTTATGGCACACATAACACCGTGAATTACATGTTCGTGAACGCTTTTATCAAATGTAATTGAAACTTCCTTAAATGAGTGAAGCTTTTTTTTCCCTCGCTATTTTGTGTTGCCTGGATTTCCGTTACGATTATGTTACGTTAGTACACGCAGGCGCAATTTGTCTTTACTTTTCGATCACTCTATGTTGCCACATATGACACATTAAAATTGTGAGAATACGCCATCATCCCTATACTTTATTCCCTCTAAACTACCCTCCATGCATTATGATTTTCACATTCATTAAAATATATATATACTATATAATAATTCATATGTTTTCCCTCTAAGTTTAAAACAATACTTTAAAACATTGAAACATAACAAAGAAAAATGACTGTGGTTTCTTTGTATATGACAAGGATTTTTTACGCAAATATTTTATTATTAAAGGAAATGCTATAACTCACGCAGGGCAAGATGGCATATTGTTTTCTAGACTGAAGAACTGACATGATGAAGTCATAATTTAAGACTTCAAATATGTTCTTGAAGTTGTAGGTTGTTAGGACGTTTTATATTGAAGGTATTTTGGTGGTTTTATTTCTATTTCATATCTCTTATTTTATATCTATATTTTACTTATTGTTTCCGTAAATTTATTTATGTGTTTATGACTCATTGGATGATCAATGAATTGCAATATATCTTTGGAACAAATACATAATAGTTTGTTGGTAAGTTTGAGTTTCAGAACATGAGTAACGGATGTGGCACTACATTGCATTAAAACTCAAAGGGAAATTAAAGTTATTACATTGAGAAAATATTTGAACAATATCAATTAAAAAAAAATAATTAAAAAAAACCATTGAGTTCAAAAAATTTATGCAAATTAAACACACCCTCCAATTAATCGGTAATTTTTAACTGAATCGAGAGAAGGGTTCAAAAGTTATCAGGTTCGAGTTAGGTAGATACTTTATTAACGTCGCACTAGAGCTGCACAATGGGATATTGGCGGCGGTCTGGGAATCCTCCCTGAGGAAGATCCGAAAACATGCCAATTTTGATCCTCTGCAGACAATTGAAGACAATTTTGATCCTCTGCAGAGGGGATGGCTCCCCTGCTTTGGTAGCCCGACGACCTGATCGAGAAGTAGAGCACTTTACGGTAGAACAATTTAACGAGGACTCATACCATGCACCCTCGGTCCCTACGCAGGCTGATCAAAGTGGTCACCCACCTGCTTACTGACCGCAGCCAGTAATGCTTGACTTCGGTGTTCTACTGGGAACCGTGTCTTTATGATCTGCGGGACAGTTACTAGGGTTCATTTTCATACAACTTGAAATTTCCCACTCACTATACCAATGAGTATTCCAAAAATGCATATTAGGAGCGGTTTTTGAGAAATATCCAGGATACAGCATTTAATACACCACCGCTAAATCAATCACCAAAACATAATAATTAATTAATAATAATCGCTATTTATTATTATTATTATTATTATTAATATGATTAATGAGGAGAGTTTCATTGCCCGATTTACCTTACCTTACACTGGTGTTTTTTTCAAGATTAGATGCCTCTGCGTGGTACAGATTTGTCCGGTATTCTCTTCATTGATTTTTTTAAAAAATTACGTGCCATTGCACGATATACTATACACTGATTCTTTTTAAGGCTAAGTGCCACTGCCTGATAAACATTTGTCCGGTATACCTTAAACTAATGCTTATTAAGATTAAGTGCCACTGCCCGGTATACTCTACAATGATGTTTTTTTAGGGTTTTGTGTCATTGCCCTGCATTCTCTACACTGAATCTTTCTTAAGGTTAAGCACCATTTCCATGTGTACCCTACACTTATTATTTTTTTATGGTTAAGTGCCAAGCACGATACGCATTTGCCCGTTATACCCTACACAGATGTTTTTTTCTTACGATTAAGTGTCTCTGCCTGGTATACATTTCCACGGTACATCAATCAATGATATTTTAAGGAAGGCGTTTGTATTTCTTAAGTCTCATCACAAGGTTTTGGTAATAGTCCGAAATGGAATTATATTAAAGGATTCGTCGAATTTCTAATACTCAAACCCTATGTTTTGCTGAGGAAACCGAGGATTTGCCAAACTTCGAGGTTTTACAGTAACATAAACTAAGTGGAAGAATCTGAAAAAAGGAAGAAAAGCATTCGATGTCTATGGGTTTAAAATGTTATTGAAAACTATTTCAACAGAGTATGAATAAAAGGAGAAGTTTGAAAAAATAGTAAAAATTAATAAATAAAGAAAGAAAAATAGGTACGATCGTTAAGGAACCTTGAGATAATGCATCCCATGTTTTACTTCAAAAAGATTAATTCTTTGAAGATAAGGAACTTAAGTTGATAAAGTTTTTGAATTATAATTATTAAATTATTGAATAAAACGTAAAAATTGAGTTAAAAAACGGTATTTATGAATAATTTTTGTAATCTAATTACCAATTTTAAAGAGAAAAATATTATTTTTTTTATGGCATAGTATTCATTTTATAGAATTTTTCAAAACATCCTGTTTTTTTTTTGAAAATTGAATTTGAATTGCAAAATTTCTTGAAGAAATCGATAATCAAATTCATTTCTATTTCTGCAGTTTCTCTAATATTTAACCGTAAAAAANTATGCAAAGATTTAATTTTCTTAAATTATTAGATTCTAATACTTTATCCTCTCTCTTGGTTTGGACAAAAGATTAATACATGGGGTAACTAAGCATTAGAGCTACTTAGAGAAGACTTAGAGTTACCAACCTTGTTATAGTTATAATTTGTTTTGCTCTATGAGTTCAATGATTTTAAGATAGTACAACCGAATTTTGATTTTCAGTTTAGATACAAAAATAATTATAATGAAATTGCTTTCGAGTACACAAAGATTTGATTTTATAAATTATTAGATTCTGTCACTTTATCCTCTCTTGATATAGGCTAAAGGTAAGAATGTGCAGACAAATATACCCTAAACTAAAATATAGAATTTATCTAAACCTATCGAGTAGCTAACTTTAAACCCAATAGGTAGCTAAATTTCATGGTTAATATCTATGGTTAATAAAATATGGATAACCTATGGTTAATAAAGTTAAAATGGTAGGCTATAAATGAAATGAACATTTTATAAAATCTGGAGATATTTTTATGACAGTTATAGCATAACAACATTCAGAAAAAAATTCAGCTTTTACTATTGATGAGCATTATTAAAGAAATTTATCAATTGGTACACTGCTATTTAATATTATAACTGATGTTGAACAGCCGATACGATTCTGATCTTACTACTATCAACGCTCAACTCCATAGTCTTATGATTTTGAACCCAACCCAGAAGACAAGGGAACTCCTGGATTAAGCATTAGGACAAACTTGTTGGACTTTTTGATTGAACTAACCCGCATTATGTATAACATGGAGTGGAAACTATGAGAACCTCTTGCAGTTCGCCCGAGAGCAAAGAGATTTTAACCTATGATCTGTCTAACGCTGAGAATACTTTACGTCGACACTGTGGTCGGTACGATCTGGATCAGAACTCGCCCCAATCATCCACCGCTGGGATTCTAACCTGGATCACCTCATTGCGAGGTGGACAATCTGATAATAAATTTAGATAAACAAAAAAAAGAAGAAAAAAAGTTTAACAAAAATGCTATTCCTTATATAAGATACCAAAGTATGAAATGTTCGTGAAATTTAAAATTTTTCATACAGTGAGATTAAATGCAGTGATTTTAAAAATCAATCTAATCTAGTCATTTGCTAATTTATCCAATAATGCAATGTAGTCTAACTTAATCAACTAACCATTTTAATAATTTTAAATTATGCTTCATAATAATTATGCATTATAATGATAATTTTAAATTATTTACTTGGGAATAGATATTTTTTTTAAAAAAAAAATTACCTGTACTTAAATTAATATTTGCATTTCACTTAATATGCAGTTTAAAAAGTATACAAGATTGTAAAGTATTGAAGAATTGAAATTATTTTGACAGGTATGATACAGATACCTAATGGACAATGGTACGTCAGAGATATATTTTAGGATTTATCAGAAAGCTATACAGGATAGAAATATACGAATTATTGAAGGAAAATGTACATCAAGTATTAAGAAGTCAATTGTATATTATTTTATAAAAAAAAAAAAAATAATAATAGAATTTATAAATTTCGCATTAGTAATTATAATTCAGTAATTGAAATAAACTGTAACTAAAGTTTTAATTGGCTAATTCATTATAGCAATAAGATAGCTAAAATATATTTTATTAATTATTAGTAGCTATAAATTCTAAATTTAGAAGAAAAAAAAAGAAATAAGTAATTATAAAAATAAATCAAAATAACTAAATGTAACAATAAAAAAACACACACGTAAAATACGAACATACAAAAGCATTTCGCGAAATATTTTAGAATTTCAGAACTTATGTTATATAACAAAATATTTGCTCCTTTTATTTATCAATCATTAAAATTAAAGATCATTTACATCCAATAACATAGAACATAGCTAAAAATTTTGAAGGAAAAAAAGAAACAGAATAGGAATCATTAAAAAGTAAAACAAAATATTGTAAGTAAGAAAAAAAGTGAAAAAGCTGAATAAAGTTTATTTACCTGCTCAAAATTTCTCACAGAACTTCGGAAGCAGTCATCTAAACTCTAAATCTTCAGGTGTGGTAAACATAAAAAATCATATTTCATTGCCCTCACCTCAATACAAACGTTTTACATTAATTACAAAATTGTAATCGATTTACATAGTACTAACAAATAGCTATGACAAGATTAATAACAGAACCAGTAAATTGACGAACACTCCGATTTTGGTATCTCCACACGTCAACATAGAATCCACATTGAAAAAAAGTACCTGTAGAGGCCGGAATGATTCTTCGCTGTGATTGGTTAAGCTGACTTGTTAGTAAAAATGATTGGAAACCTGTCCTTCATAAAAATTAGATGCAAAGAGGAGAGGAGGAGGTGAAGTTTGTGTTTACTGCCATGGAATGCTTCGATCAAACCGGTTTTTTGGTTCCTGTTTCAAAGCCGAAACCTTTTCCATCTTTATTTTCTATCTCGTTGTGGAATATTTACCTGTCGAGAATTTGGCGTGCCACAAAACGAAGCTTTTCACCTGTTTGGCTTCGTTTCCCAAAAACGTGAGATTTAGAGAAAAAAATTTCTAGCTCTTTCTTTGTATTTATTGAATAATAGGCATTTTAACTGCAGTATTTTTTTTTTCTTTTACCTGTTAAGACCCAGAATTAAACTTAGTTTGAAATTTATAAAATGCATATTAAGTGTTAAGTTATACTTACTGTAGGAAAATAAGCAAATAATTTTTTAACCAATTTTAAGTTAATACGAAATAGAATAAATTGAAAATTTCAAATTATTACAAAATATTTTTTAACAAAAAGTTGAGGTGGGTGACCACTTGGATCAGTCTGCGTAGGGACCGAGGGTGAGCGGTATTGGTTCTCGTTAAACTGTGCTACCGTAAAGTGCTCGACTTCGCGCGCAGGTCGTCGGGCTACCGAAGCGAGGGTGCCATCCCCTCCGCAGAGGATCAAAATTGTGATGGCATGTCTTCGGATCATCCTCTGGGATGTTTCCCAGACCGTCGCCAGTAGCCCATTGTGCAGCTCTAGTGCGACGTAAATTAACAACAACAAAAAGTTGAAATAAACTTTTATACTGGTTCAAATGTACTAATATACTAATAAAAGTATCAATATTTTACTATTCTTCGCCAAAATATAAACACCTTTCAATTTATGAGAGTGTGAAATTCAAGCATCCGTTAAATCTTTTAGTTACTAGTCATATGTCTTGTTGTTCTTAATTAGTTGTGCCTAAAAGTTCAAGTTTTTTTTTTAAGTTAATTTTTTTTATATCGAGCTACTTTTAATTCAAGAACTAATAATGTGCTGTTTTTTTTATTTATGTAACGATACCATCTAAAACAAATTAGAATTTTATCAATATTAATTTGGATTGAATGTGTAAAGTAGAACTAAAATAAAAAGTAATAATTCAGTTTTTGAGTGATAAAGAAAAAGTTAGAAACTTCTCTGAGATAAATTACTAGAAAATTGGGTTTCAGTTTCTCCCATATTTCAGAATTAATTCCATGCAGGATGTCGAAGAAAATTTTGGTGATCATGATTCACCTTAGCACCGTTTTCTGCCACAATTATTAACACACAAATAAAACAAATTGAAGAATGGTGACAACATTTCTAAAAAAGTAAAATAAAATAATTTTAAAAATGAGAAAATGTTAGAAACTTCTCTGAGGTAATTTACCAAAAAATTTTGTTTCAGTTTCTCCCATATTTCAGAATTAATTCCATGCAGGATGTCAAAGAAAATTTTGATGATCATGATTCAACGTAGGCACCGTTTTTTGCCACAATTATTAACACACAAATAAAACAAATTGAAGAATGGTGACGACATTTCCAAAAAAGTAAAATAAAATAATTTTAAAAATAAAATTTAAAAACATAACTTTATTGATAGATTGTTGGAAATCTCGCCTATATTCAAACTCGTTGCAGTGAGACTACAGAAAGTGACTTTTTGATTGTTAATTCAAAGAAGTTTATGAAACTTTTTCATAGAAACGAATTAAACGATAATCATAGAGTTTATTAAAATAAAGACGAAAAGTTGTATTCCTGAGCTGCCTGTTATTTGTAAAAAAATTTTAAGTTGTAAAAATTTAAATAGTTGCAAAAAAATAATCTGTATGAAATCTAAAACTTGAGAAGTTTGGGTGAGCAATACTGTCCTGCGTATCTTTAATTACTATTATTATTACTGAAACCCTAATTATTATTATTACCCCAAAACCCAAAATTATTATTATTATTATTATTGAAAATAAATATTATTAAATTGGTGAGAATACAGATTTAAATTTTGATTGAAAAGTTTAAAAAGAAGATCCTCAAGAATTCTAAAACAAGATGTTTGGAGGAAAGATATGCATAGTTAGCAATTTTCTTAAATTGAAACAAAAGAAAAATAAAGACAACCAAAGAACTATGCCTAAATGATACTGTGTAAATTTATTTCTAATTGTATTAAAAATTAATTAATGTACGAAAATAACTGTGACATAAAGATATTTTCAAATGTTCATTAATGTGGGGAACATGGGCTCCCACATAAGTATAATAAATCACAACTTAAGTAACCTTTGACCTTTGTCTTCAACACAAGATACATGCTGCTAATAAGGCATTCAATCCATTTTTATTTCTGATGTCTCTGAAACAAAGTTGGCCTTTATCTTTCAACAAATCTGAAACAACGTTAATTAAATTTTAATCAGACTTATCTGTGCCAAGAGCTCGAGCCCTTTGCCAGCTTTTTTTTTCTAACATTTTTTACAAGGGTTCTTAAATGGTGGCAAAACAAAGATAACACAGTGGTGACAAGACATAATTTTTACATTTGTTAAACCTATAAATGATGTTTTTTCACTGAGGCTAAATTGAAGGATCGCATTTTATAAACGCAAATCAAAAATGATCTCTCAAAATTTTCAATTCAGGATCCTCCTTGAAATCACCTGTTTGTCCACGATCTATATTTTTATACTTTTTCGGTCAAATAGGACGCTGCAATGTCTGCCTCTGCAATATAGCAACTTCTGAGAGTTAGACTGGCTAATTTAATACCGATTGCAACGCACTCATCTTTCCCTAAACGCACCTTTTGAATCATAATAGTCATAAATCATAAATAACAATCAAAGAACACGTGATTTTCAACAAGTATATAACATTAAAATTTGATCTCTAACTTATTTATGACACACATAACACCATGAATTACATGTTCGCAAATGCTTTAATCTAACGTAATTGAAACTTCTTTAAATAGGTGAAGTTTTTTTTTCCCGCTCTATTTTGTGTTGCCTGGATTTCCGTAACGATTATGTTACGTTAGTACACGCAGGTGCAATTTGTCTTTACTTTTCGATCACTCTATGTTGCCACATATGACACATAAAAATTGCGAGAATACGCCATCATCCCTATACTTTATTTCCCCCAAACTGCCCTCCATGCATTACTATTTTCACATACATTGAAATATATATATACCATATAATAATTCATATGTTTTCCCTCAAAGTTTAAAACAATACTTTAAAACATTGAAACATAACAAAGAAAAATGACTGTGGTTTCTTTGTATATGACAAGGATTTTTTACGCAAATATTTTATTATTAAAGGAAATGTTATAACTCACGCAGGGCAAGATGGCATATTGTTTTCTACTAGACTGAAGAACTGACATGATGAAGTCATAATTTAAGACTTCAAATATGTTCTTGAAGTTGTAGGTTGTTAGGACGTTTTATATTGAAGGTATTTTGGTGGTTTTATTTCTATTTCATATCTCTTATTTTATATCTATATTTTACTTATTGTTTCCGTAAATTTATTTATGTGTTTATGACTCATTGGATGATCAATGAATTGCAATATATCTTTGGAACAAATACATAATAGTTTGTTGGTAAGTTTGAGTTTCAGAACATGAGTAACGGATGTGGCACTACATTGCATTAAAACTCAAAGGGAAATTAAAGTTATTACATTGAGAAAATATTTGAACAATATCAATTAAAAAAAAATAATTAAAAAAAACCATTGAGTTCAAAAAATTTATGCAAATTAAACACACCCTCCAATTAATCGGTAATTTTTAACTGAATCGAGAGAAGGGTTCAAAAGTTATCAGGTTCGAGTTAGGTAGATACTTTATTAACGTCGCACTAGAGCTGCACAATGGGATATTGGCGGCGGTCTGGGAATCCTCCCTGAGGAAGATCCGAAAACATGCCAATTTTGATCCTCTGCAGACAATTGAAGACAATTTTGATCCTCTGCAGAGGGGATGGCTCCCCTGCTTTGGTAGCCCGACGACCTGATCGAGAAGTAGAGCACTTTACGGTAGAACAATTTAACGAGGACTCATACCATGCACCCTCGGTCCCTACGCAGGCTGATCAAAGTGGTCACCCACCTGCTTACTGACCGCAGCCAGTAATGCTTGACTTCGGTGTTCTACTGGGAACCGTGTCTTTATGATCTGCGGGACAGTTACTAGGGTTCATTTTCATACAACTTGAAATTTCCCACTCACTATACCAATGAGTATTCCAAAAATGCATATTAGGAGCGGTTTTTGAGAAATATCCAGGATACAGCATTTAATACACCACCGCTAAATCAATCACCAAAACATAATAATTAATTAATAATAATCGCTATTTATTATTATTATTATTATTATTAATATGATTAATGAGGAGAGTTTCATTGCCCGATTTACCTTACCTTACACTGGTGTTTTTTTCAAGATTAGATGCCTCTGCGTGGTACAGATTTGTCCGGTATTCTCTTCATTGATTTTTTTAAAAAATTACGTGCCATTGCACGATATACTATACACTGATTCTTTTTAAGGCTAAGTGCCACTGCCTGATAAACATTTGTCCGGTATACCTTAAACTAATGCTTATTAAGATTAAGTGCCACTGCCCGGTATACTCTACAATGATGTTTTTTTAGGGTTTTGTGTCATTGCCCTGCATTCTCTACACTGAATCTTTCTTAAGGTTAAGCACCATTTCCATGTGTACCCTACACTTATTATTTTTTTATGGTTAAGTGCCAAGCACGATACGCATTTGCCCGTTATACCCTACACAGATGTTTTTTTCTTACGATTAAGTGTCTCTGCCTGGTATACATTTCCACGGTACATCAATCAATGATATTTTAAGGAAGGCGTTTGTATTTCTTAAGTCTCATCACAAGGTTTTGGTAATAGTCCGAAATGGAATTATATTAAAGGATTCGTCGAATTTCTAATACTCAAACCCTATGTTTTGCTGAGGAAACCGAGGATTTGCCAAACTTCGAGGTTTTACAGTAACATAAACTAAGTGGAAGAATCTGAAAAAAGGAAGAAAAGCATTCGATGTCTATGGGTTTAAAATGTTATTGAAAACTATTTCAACAGAGTATGAATAAAAGGAGAAGTTTGAAAAAATAGTAAAAATTAATAAATAAAGAAAGAAAAATAGGTACGATCGTTAAGGAACCTTGAGATAATGCATCCCATGTTTTACTTCAAAAAGATTAATTCTTTGAAGATAAGGAACTTAAGTTGATAAAGTTTTTGAATTATAATTATTAAATTATTGAATAAAACGTAAAAATTGAGTTAAAAAACGGTATTTATGAATAATTTTTGTAATCTAATTACCAATTTTAAAGAGAAAAATATTATTTTTTTTATGGCATAGTATTCATTTTATAGAATTTTTCAAAACATCCTGTTTTTTTTTTGAAAATTGAATTTGAATTGCAAAATTTCTTGAAGAAATCGATAATCAAATTCATTTCTATTTCTGCAGTTTCTCTAATATTTAACCGTAAAAAAACGTATCTCACGTAGAAAACACGTAATCGTAAACTCAAAACTAGCATTTGTTGCTGTTTCGGACATATACGATAATTTACTTAAAAATGCATGTAAATGATATTTTTATGTAAATGAATGTAATTTGATCATTTACACCAACAGTTCCCAATTAGGATCTAACCAATTGATAGTATTTTTTATAACCAGTGATGAGTTTTGAAGAATATGCTTGTATTCAGATGCAATCTATAAATCGCGTAATTTATTTCATCGTAATTTATTTCATCTTAATTCGGTTGCCTTTATAAATTTTTTCAAATAAAATGCCAATGAAATAAGAATGACATTATTTAAAAGAAAATATAATATTTCTAATAACAATATATTGAACAAATTATGAAAAAACAATCGTTTCTAAAATTTTGGATTAATTATTGCCTATTGCGCTTTTCAAATCAAAATATCAAACCATTTTCAACGCTTAAAGCAGTTCTTTTAAGTTTTCATCTCAAATTAAGCCATCATAATTCGGCTTATTTTAATCACTTTTATCATATATATATATATATATATATATATATATATAGTAGTTTAAGACAGAAATTAAAGATTTTATGATAGATTAG